ATAGTAGTACCACGGGTGTGTTAGCTTTTAACTGTTATCATTAATTACTGATTTAAACAATCTTAATAAAACTAGTAATATGAGCAAATTTGGATTGTTTGGCTACTCATTATGCCAGGATTTCTATATATATTTGATTTGGCTGCCCATGTACAAGGGCAATGTCCTCGCCACAGTGGCCGCAGGCTCAATTCCAGCCCATAGCCCTTTCCCACATGCCATCCCTTCATGCTTAACCTGTCCTGTCCGTTAAAGGCAAAAGCTGAAAAAAACTTTGAAGAATAAAATCATTTAATGAAAATGACCAGGATCTCGCGGCCAAAAATCCTTGAAATTGTGGCCAATTTTGTCAAAAATTGCGAAAAAAATGCATCATTTTTATGTGTTTTAAATTGCAGCTAATGACAAAAGGAGAAAAAAAATGTGATTAAAAAAAACCCAAAAAACTACTACCTCCAAAAAAATAAGTCATGTAATCACTTGCTATAATGATCATACTGAATATTACAAAAATAGCTGCAAATGTTTTTTTTTTATAGTTCTCTTCTTTAGTTTTATTTAATTAGTTTCAAAACATGGACTCCAATAATGTTGCAAAAAATCCTGAGTGAATATTGTAGCTCTCAAACCACACAATGTGACTGTAAAACAACATGTAAGCTACATCTTCTCGAAACATAACATTTTAATACATTCAACACATATTGTATGCATTTAAACAGAATGTTTCTCCATACTGCAATGCCATTAGCGCATTTGATGATGCATCTGATTGCGTTTCAAATGACGTCGCATGCGTGACCACTTCTCATGACTCATTGTGATCGCAAGATCGTGATTTTTTGGAGGGACTGATTTTTGTGAATTTTTGGGATATTTATTTTAATTCATTATTTGAACTCATCCACTATATGCTCAGCCTGGAGGCTGAAAATGATATTCAGACATGCAAACAAAGTCACACTAGTGTGCACTTACATTTGATTTGGCTTTTGATCATGGCGAACTAAGCAGCTCATTAACATTAATGAAGTTGGCCAAACATCAAAATGAACCTCTTGGCTGTTGTCTGGTTTTAATATTTTCATCAATAAAGAGAAAAAGAAAGTGAAACTGGTGTAAAAAGAGACCCATATTAAATAAAGGACCTCATTAAAGAAGAACCCCTCCACTAACATGGGCACTTTTGAGAAAATACTTCTGGCTGGTCAGCAAAATAAGTGCAACATTGTGAGTTTATGATTTAGTCTTTACCTTTTATAGACAATCTTGAGGTCCCTCCATTCTAGGAAGCTGCACATCTTTGGTTTGCGGGCAAGCACTATCTGCATCAGCTCCCTGACCATCTTCTTCTTGTCGCGCTCAGCTGTGGCTGTGTACCACTTCTGCAGCCGCAGCTTCCCCTGTCGGCTGAAAAGGAGCATGAAGCGCATCTACACACAGATAGGGACAGAAACAGTTCAAAACAAGGGGAAGAACACAGACAGGAAAGCATTATTATTCATATATATTCCATGATGATGAATCTGCCAATATATGAGAAAAAGGGATAAGTATTATTGCACCAGGGCAGGAATTTCAAACAAGGACTACAACTGATGGTTAAAAGGTTGTTCTCTTTTTCAGTGTTCATCACATGGCAGGACTGAGTATCACCAAGTGCACATATGGGTAGGAGTTAGAGAAGTTTTTGATGAATAAAAGAAAGTTTATCACATCAAGCCAATGTTAAGAGTTCAGCAATATGATGATCTATCTAGGAGGAAAGATGATAAGAACATTGTTGTTCCAGGTGGTTGTTACAAAGACAACACTGTTATTTCTGATCACTATGACTCCATCAAAAAAACTCTGCACAGAAAAAAACAATCACATTAAAAGCCTTCCAGCAGCTCCCTTTCATGGTAGACTTTTAAGGTGAAACATTTGCAAGAAGTGTGAGAAACATCCACCTACAGAGCCGGAGAGCCACCGTTACACATGCGCATGCACAAGTTTCAGAGCCACCGTATTAGACGTGCGAATACGCAAGTACCACACCCTTTTATGTAGGGATGGGTATGGTTAAGATTTTATCAATACTACTACTTTTATCGATACTCCTTATCGATTCGGTACTTTATCGATATTCTTATCGGTTCTTCTTCATTTGTAAATAATTGCTTTTTAGAAAATATATTAATTTAAAAAGAATAAATTCAGAATAGGATAACTGAATATTCTGAATACAACTAAACATTTCCAGAGTAGCAACAGTAACTTTTACAACAGCAACATCACTATAATCATAATAATATTCCTGACATCACAAAACTGAGAGAAGTTTAGTTTTTATTAGTCACAATAAGTCATTCCACCTGTCCTCTGTCCTCCTGCCCTCTGTCCTGCTCCCTCTTTGCTGATGTGATTCACTGTGTGCAGGTAGCATTAGCGCTGGCAGAAAGAGGAGGGGCTGTTTGTCTCAGCCAGCAGCTAAGTTTAAAAGTATCTGCCCAATTTTAAGATAAGTGTCAAACTAAGCTAGTCTACATACAGACAGCTGTCGTTTGAGCTTATTAGTAACAATTTGCTATTAGCTAAACTAGCATGCTTGTGTAGGTTAGTGTCGGTGGATGAGAGACTGTGGATGGAGCATATTAAAGTATCGCTGTCTGCATATTTACATGTTTATTCTTGCTGAACACATGTATTGATAAAGTATTGGCTTCTTACTCGCTAAGGTTTAATGTCACTTACAGTAAAGAGAGTAGCTGTCGTCAGCTCGAGTAATTTTTGAGTTAACTTCAATTTGTTTCCACTGCGGCTGCCCGGCTGTTCACTGATTACCGTGTTGTGTAGGCATGTGCATGTGTTTGTGGATGTGTGTGTATGTGGAGCACTTCAGCCCCGGCACAGAGCAAGGATGAGGGTCTGCGGGATGATAATGAATTAAACCAAAATGAATAAAAATACAGATAAAGAACATACCGTCAGAGCTTATCAATACTACAGTCTTTGATAAGTTAGCCCCAGGGCTAATTTGGTACTGGGTTTGGGTACCCATCCCTACTTTTATGTTGTACAGATTGAGATAGGTATATGTTTAAGACTGTTGTTGTAAAATAATGTAATGTTAGCCTTATGTTCGCAATTGCTTGTTTAAAGTGGAAGTAGAAAACTTTTCCACTAGCTAGTGTACTAGCTCGCTAACTAACACTGTCTACTTGTCAACTTAATCATGGATTATTACAGAATATGTTAACTTTCACCACAGTTCATTTTAGGACGACAACCTTTGTTTAGATTATCAAATGGACGATGGGTCACAGATACTTGTTCCTGGCTGCCAGCGTTAGCTAGCTGAAAAGTTGTCTATTTCCTGTCTTTTTTTTCCCGGGGGTTTTGTAACCCTTACCCTCTGGACAGGTGGGCTTGTCCCTTTCAGACCATCCATGCAAGCATCAACACTACACAAAGTATCAACAGATGGCAACATTTTTTTAATCTACATTTTTAAGTGGAAATAGACAGGTTTTCAGCTAACCTAGCTGACATTTAGCTGCGCAAGCTACTGCTGGCAGCCAGAAACAAGCAACTATGATTCACTGTCTGTTAATTGTCCAATAATTTAAATAAAGAACATGCTTTCGCAGCAGTGGTGCTAAAATGAACAATGTCTGATGTTACTCTATTCCGTTACGATCAGGGAGTTGAATCGCAGACGCTAGTTAGCGCTAGCATAGCTAGCTAGTTAATGTTGACTACTCCCACTACTGAGAAGAGATTGGATGAATTAAAAACTATTATCAGTGTTTGACTGACAAGGGACTGTTACACTCTGATTGGCCACAACACTCGCACATGCATACGTCTAAAATGGTGGCTATCTGGCTCTGCAGGGGGATGTAATTGGGAAGTGTTGTGTTTCATTAAGCCATTCCTCATAGAGAACATTTCAATGGAGACATACTGCACAATAGAGAATATCACACCAAACTCCTTTCAGAACAACTAAAGGTGGCCTGTTTTTAAATTTTTTTATTTCCAATCAATGTCAATTAGGAATTGGAGTATCAGTCAATACCTAGGCCTGGTCCAATAATATCATGGGAGACTCTCAATGAACTGCTAATGACCTGCAAGGCAAAGGTCATGAGAAGCGGTGGTAGCTAAACCCTTAGCGAGTTCATCTGCTATCATCGCGACTAATGGCTGACTACTGTAGAGTGTTTGAGACATTCTGAATATTAGCTGAGAATTTGAGGAAAATGATGACAAAACTGTACGACACTGGATTTTTTTGAAAGGAATCCTTCAATGTGGCTATAATGGATATAGTATTATAAAATGGAATGAGGTTAGCTTGCTATAAGTCTTCAGTTTGCAGGCTGTAGCAACTGAGAGTCCTCCATACAGCTGCATGGGACTGAGGTTGACATTAATATAAAGCAATGAAAAATATATTTAGGCCATGGGTGAGGTGATGATAATGTTGCTCTGTGTCTGCTAAATATGCAAGCAGGCAAGTGTATGCCAACACATTTGCTATAACAACTTTATAAACTAGGTGCTATGCATAACTCTCTTAAATGAGCAGATATCTACATGCAGTTTGGTGTGATATTCTCTCCACATCTACACAAAAATTATGTACTGCAGCTAGTGCACACAGTGAACCCACATAAACCGATGATAACCAAATGTACAGATCATTTTATTCACAGGAAAATACCTGATGGTCTCACTAATATCAACACAGTGACTCTGCCATCATCACAGCTTTAATAAAACTCTACACCTGACACAATCCTAACACAAATATACAGTACCACTTATTTTTACTTACATTTGCCTGCTATCTGTTTTTATCTCTGTATATAGTCTAAATGACAGAGAAACAGAGTGGGAGGTGTGGTTCCCATTTGTTTTACAGCAGCAGGATACATGTCTATTTGGTTAGTGCAAAAAACCGTATACATGTGTATACGATATATTAGTGATTTACAACTTCACATTTGACACTTATGGCAGTAATGACAAACTGCTGGTAAGTCTCATCTAACAATGTTTTTTATATCTAACTTATCACTACGCTGTAGCTGAAACCTGGAGGTCATTATTTTTAGAATTTATTCTGGTCTGCAAATAGAAATGAGAACATGTATTAATCTACAAATTCATGTAAATGAAGTCCCAACGTCTCACAAAATCTGAAAATGTCTGACAATTAAATAGTACAGTGCAAAACATTACAATAAACTCATTTCACATAACTAAGACACTTCTGCAGTCCAAAAAAGGTGTAGGCTGAAGCTACAGCTTATAACACCTACTATTTTAACAGCACATCATATTTAGCAATCAACAACAAAACAAGACAAAACAGGCAAACAAGACAAAACATAAAAAAAAAGAATACAACACATACACACACAAAAAGAAGAAAAAAACAACTAACAAAAGGCAACTTACACACTTTGTGTCCTGTTCTTCTACGTCAGTATTACAGTCCATTTTCATATTCAATAAAGACATTATTTTTAAACTTTTGTTCAAACTTACTTAACGTAATAGATGTTTTCAGTTCCTCACTACAACTGTTCCATTTAAATGAAATACAATGTAGTTTGGCATTGGTTCTCACAAAGTTTTCTGACTATAAAAATACCTCTCAAAGCATGCTGACTTTCTCTTTTTTTTTAAATAACTTTAAGGTGATAATTGTTTGGGTTTTTTGTTTTTGTTTTAAAGTTGACCAAATCTTCAAATTCCAGAGTCTTTAGTTTAATAAATAATGAGTTTGTTGGTTTTCTGTATGAGGTTTTGTTCACAATTCTTATGGCTCTCTTTTCAAGTATGAAAATTGGATTTGTATTTGTTTTATATGTATTTCCCCACACTTCCACACAATATGCAATGTATGGCAGTATAAGGTGTATAATGAGGCTTGATCTAAAAGATCTTTAACTTTATATAATATTGCAGTTGACTTTGAAATTTTGGCTTTGATATAATTTATGTGCAACTTCCAGCAAAGTTTATTATTTATTATGACACCTAAAAATTTCATCTCCAATACTTGAAGTTTCAACTTAATTTATCACAAGTTTGCTGTTTCAGTTGGCTACACAATTACCAAAAACTATAAATTTACACATTTAATTTAGAGATCTGCTTTTAACACAACATTAAACTGCCTGCTGCAACCTCTGTGAATCATGGTCCTTTTGAACATAAACAAAAAAAAATATCTTATTTTTTGTTAAACGTCAAAGTGCTATATCTTCTTTTAAAAAAAAAAAATCTGTGGAGTGTAAATGGCATACACACATCTTAACTGAAACAGCCAAGAGATCTTGTTGTTCCACCAACTTAATTAGCTAACCTACAGTTGGAGGGAAGACTGGGGCTGATTGGCACACAGCTATTTACTTGTCCTTTGAAAGTCACGGAAACACAAATGTAAAAATAGTTGTTTTCTTGTCCGGCACTCATCTACTGTGTTAAAACCCCCCACATCTGAACATTTTTGTTGAGAGTTAAATTTTACTTTTATTGTATTGAAAGTAGGGCTGCAAGATTAATCGTAATAAAATCGTGATCTCGATTCATATGCATATGCGATCTAATTTTTCAATGACGGCGATTCTGCCGGCCCCGCCCGTGCCGGGAGTCGGGACATTATCTGCATGAAAACAAGCGCTCCCAACGTGATGCAGAGCGACAGCTGGCCGGCAGTTTGGAAAGCAGCAAGACAGGGGGGAAACACACCGCTAACTGTAGCCTCAGTTTGTGCCTCATTCAGACCTGCTGGTAAAGTTAACTTAGCGTTAGCAAGCGTGATAAAAGACGGCAGAGAGGAAACCAAGGATTTATTAATTTTCTGTAGCAGTAAACACATGGCCCGATAACAAATGTGTTAACTAACTATGCTAAAACTTTACAAGCTATTCAGGGCTGCCGACGATAACTTTAACATGACGAACAGCAAGGCTACGGCTAACAAGTTAATGTACTGACACTCCTCAGACAGACACACACACACTCACATACCGGACAGCCTCTCAGTCCTTAGCCGCTAACGTTAGCTCATGTACAACATAGGTACCACACAAAAACTTCTACAAAGGGTCATAATGTGCTTCTAGTGACTGTCAAATCGCCAGCGAAAGATGTTCACACTGCAGACACGGAGAACAGATGCCTGCTCTCATGGGACAAACATCCTCTTAGAAGAAAGATGGATCATTCTGCTCTGCCGCCAGGAACAAACTGGGAGGCAAAGATCCTCTCTGACGAAGAGGGTTTACCAAAATGTTTTTTTTTTCCTTCTAATAAACTGAACACACATTAAAGAACATACAAGATCCTGTAGAGAATTAATACATATTATACAATACATTAAACATGGTCAAATTAAATGAAGGAAGAGGATTTTTTAAAGGCAAATAAAATATTGGGAATTTATGTAAAAATATACATAAAGACATATAAATAATTATATAATTAAAGATATGTAGGCTATGTTAGGTGAATACTGTCAAATGCATGGTGTTGAAACGTTTAATTTTGACTTAATTCCAGGCCTGGAATACCTACCTCAGAAAAATGTTGTTCAACACTGATATTATTGTTAAAATTGTTCAGACAAGAGACTAAAGTTTATTGTTTTTACGGTCAGTGTCAGGCTGTCAGCTGTTGCATTTAAGCTACAAACAGGAGTGTTCCCTCTCTGCTGACCAGAGTTTATGTGACTTGTGTGTCTTGTATCAGGTACAATCATAGGTTTTGTTATTTAATGATTTTTTTTTTTATTTATTTATAATTTTTGTTACTTTTCCTTTTGTATCAGGAAATAAGCACAATATATCTTTATGTTGAAAAAAATCGTGAGAGAATCGTGATCTCAATTATAAGACAAAAAATTGTGATTCTCATGTTTTCCAGAATCGTGCAGCCCTAATTGAAAGTTTTAAAAAAAAGTGGTCTGTGGACTAAACATATAAAACTGTGTTAAACAGAAACATTATGAATGCAATACTTCTAGTTAATTGATAAAGATACATTAAGATAGTGCTGGGCAATAAAAATATAATGATGACTATCTCAATATACTCGTTCTTGATAGAAATGTAATAAATGTTCAATAAGTCTTCCATATAATTAAACCACACATACGCCCATAGAGGGGGTCGGTAATGCTCCTTAAACACCAGTTGCTACCCACCATTTACCAGAAGAAGAAGGAGGAGGAGAAACAGTAGTGATAGTAGAAGAAGAAGCAGATGAGATCGGCCACCAACACATACTGTAACATTATAATGTTACAACATTCAACAAGCTCATAAAGTTACTTTTAGTATGATTGTATTTTACCACAGATAACAGCACAGCACTACCCCACAACTGAATTCGCCAGATAACGTTAACTACAGTAGCCGTATAGCCGACTCATCTAAAGCTAATGCTAAGTAAGTGATGTGACATGACATATTAACCAGCTATTTCATTACAATGATATCACAAAACGTGACTAACGGTAACGTGAAAACTTTCATACATTTCCTCGTCTCTAAACATAATTTCTGTCTGAGTCTCATCACAAAAGATTTTTACAGGCAATGAATGAACCATGTTACTACACGTCATCAAAGTCCGTCTTTTGTTACTGTTTTGATTGAGAAATGCACATGAATGCACATATTGACCACAGCTGAGATTTTAGTTTTATCTATTTATTTTGTTTCCACTGTCAGCTCAAACAGAATGTTTTATACCATCTGTAGAAAAAGTTTGACATGCTCCTGACCAGTAGAAAGATTTCTTACTGACATTATTTCAATTATGATTGTTTAGAATCTTCCTCAGATTTGTGAAATGATCTGCTTTTTGGTAAATGTTTGTCATGTTTGTCACAATAAAGAATTTTTTAAACCGCCATTAACCATATGGTTTCTTCAACATTTACTCAGGAGCAAAAATCAATCATCTTTAAACTTGAAAGAAATCAGGGTATGAAATTAACAAAATATTTTGGGGGCAATTTTGGCCCCCACGGTCTAAAAAATGGGGGCATTTTCAAAATGTTTGGGGGCCATCAAAAAAATTGTAATTATGTTCTAACAATAAGCACATGAAAAGCAAAACCAACTAAGATAGTGTCTTCACTCTTCAGTAGAAACCACTATAAATGAAACAAATAATGGGTTACATAAAGTTATGGTTGCAAAATATCACTCAGATTTCCTATAATTCAACCAGTTTAAATGTGATGATTTAACCATTAATCTACTGATAGCAGCACTAATGTTTCACCACATTACAGTTACTTTTACTGTTAAAAAGGCCAAATTACTATAAATTCCTTAGATGCCATCCTGGAAGTAAGTTAATTTAAAATTTAACATTCATTCTACCTTAATTTTTCATTAATTTGTCATTGTGTCGACACAGATCACCCAAGAAATGGTTAATTTATACTTATGGTACAGCAAAGCCCCCTCCCCTTCTCTGTCAGATTACTCTCACGTAATCAGTGCAATCTCGTTGATTATGTCTGGAAAATGAGTTGTAGACGTGATAGTAAATTAATTTAATGAAAATAAAATTATACTTTAATGTCAGATTTTAATACAGTTAAAAATATAAATACATATAGTTGTTTCGAAAACTTGGGGGCAATTTTGGCCCCCAGAACATGGCTTTTGGGGGCATTCTTGGATAAATTGCGGGCCAAATGGCCCGTGGCCCTTGCTAATTTCTGACACTGAAAGAAATAACTATTTGGCTTTTTAAATGGGATTAAAATGCACTCAATATTGTTATCGATAAATCAGTATTGCCTGATATGGAAACTTTTATCACGATAACATTATTAGCCATATCACCCAACTCTACAACAAGACTAGAGATGCATGATAATATGAGCATGTCATTGGTATTGGCCAATGTGCTTTTTGTTAATTTGCACAAATGAATGAATATAACATAAACTGAAAAGTATGAAAGCAACTTTTCAGCATACACTGAAAAGTACTGTATTTCATGTCTCCATCTGCTGTTGGGCCATCACGATAAGGGTATGCATGCATAATATGATGTCAATTCTACTACAGAATAGACTTGATTTTCTCTACTAAAATGAAGTGGGGAAAAAGGTGGATATACAGATATCAGTAACAGTTAACAGCTAAATTAGTTGTTATATATTGGCATATTGAAAATAAGCAAAAAAAAAAAATCCAATATTGTGCATCCCTAAATAAGATGTGTTTATTTACAGTTGAGACCTTCACCTTTCATTTGCTGCTGGTTAGCTGGTTAACATAAATTATATCAGAGAAGTACAGCAGAGAGTGAAAAGCATGCCAACCAACCCCAGGCTTCCCTACATCTGCCAGCCACAGCTGTCATTATAGCCAATGAAATTAAAGAGCATTTGTGGATATTTACGTACACTATTTTGACACGTTTATTAAGTGTACTAATACATTTCAACAGTGACAAAATAATAGTTACTGTGCATTCTAATGTAATAATAAATTCATTGCTGGATATTCAACCTAAAGGTTGGTAGATGGCAGTTAGAAACAGGCAGCTGAGTGAACAGTCATCTAACTGTCATCTCCATTGTTGACACTGACTAAAACCTGGGCCTATACTCATTACCTGCAACGAGGAAGCTCGGCTATTACTCAGCTGTTAAATTTAGCACTGTCTGTCATGCTCTGTTTTAACATTACTCAATGTCATTGAGATACAGCTACCATTACACGGACCACAGGCTAGTTAAAAGCTCTACTGAGTGTTAGAAAGTCAAGACTATTTTCCACCCTATGCGGTTACACGGCCTGTTAGCTAGCGGGCTATGCTGACGGAAGCCAGGTAAGTTAAAGGTAGCGCAGGTGGACACTTCCTGAAACCATACACCTTGCTAGCATTAGCTTAGCACCTAGCTCCTGCTCTCTTGTTTAAAAGCGAAATAGAAGCAGTAAGATTAACTTACCATTTGTTCGAATGTATTAAGATGCTGCGACGTTAGAAACAAACACTACGTCTACACTGCCTGGTCCACGTAAACGAATACACCGCAGCTAACGTTGACAGTGCATGTCTGTGTCAGATACAGTACTGTAACTGAAACTCAGCCCATTCCCCTGCTTCACTGAGCAGTTCCGCCTCTACTGAGCATGCGTATGCTTTTTCATTTTTTTTTTTCCATCCCCTGGGTTTAGCCTCTCAGGTAACACATTTTTTATACAACCTCGTCTTGATGCGATTAGGGGTTTTGAGAGACAGCTGTGCTGGAATGTCAGTTACTTATTTAATTACAATTTATGACATTTATCGAAAATTATATAGCTAAAATGATCAAATCGCACTTTTAAAATTATAATGGTGTTACAATTTCATTGCACTTATGAAATTATAACAACATTTAGCCTATCTACGTATCTTCTGTGTGAATCAGTCATATACTGTCAATAACTCTGTAACACATCCATCGCTCTCATTATAGATTTTAATTTTTACAGTTTTTAATGTTGCAATATTTTAATATGTACATATCATCTGTCACTGTCAATATAAATCCTACATGTTGTGTATACAGTATACATACATGTGCACATGCTGCATCTAGTAAATGCATTTTCATTTAGTATTTATTTCATATGTGCCATTTGTATAGTTTACAAGTTAGAGACCACTTTACTTGTATATAGACTCGTATTTCCTTTTAGTTTAATTTTATTGTTGGTCATTGGTTCTTTTTCCTATATATTTATATACTATTTATATATACACTTATTTTTTTTCACATACTTGTGTACATAAAAATCCTGTGTATTCTTTACATTATTACATTATCTGTTCAGCTTTAAAGTCATTCTTCTTCGCTTATGTTTATTATTGTGTAGGGCAGAACAGGGTTGGTTGTCACATTCATAAGGGGTATGTTTCGAATCACATACTTTTTCTTTTTTCTTTTACTGCTGCTGCCCTTAAAAAGTATGTACTGTTGTATGCAGTATGAACACAGTCAGGAGGACATACTACTTTCTCATCACATTACACTCTAAGCTTTGATCCTCTTGCTTTAATATCCATTACCTTGAAGATAAAACAAACACCACTTACCAAGTCCCAGAGAAGGAGATCATCCCAGAGAGCTCTTTTGGTACTTTGCAATGTATGTAGTTTAACTTTAAAGTTATAACTGCACAGATTGTAGACTCTAGCATATTATATTTGCGACAGTTAAATTACATCTGCTGTTCTCTGTCATTGATATTTTTATAGTTATGTCCTGTTGTTTTTTGTAATATGTATGCTTATTTTGTTAACCTAAACAATCAATATTCCTATTATTACTATTCCACTGATCATCAGTTACTTGAATGCGCTGTCATCTGTTACTGTGACTTCTCACAGCTGGCGATCAGCTGTCAAGCTGACATCTGTTTGCAGCTCAGTCAATGTCAATCAGTCAATCAATTAATCAATTTTATTTATAAAGCCCAATATCATAAATCACAATTTGCCTCACAGGGCTTTACAGCATACGACATCCCTCTGTCCTTAGGACCCTCGCAGCGGATAAGGAAAAGCATGCTGGCTTGTATACTGCCAAATCAGACCAGATGTAGTAGAACATCCTGGTATTTTTGACATACTATGTATTGGGACATACAGAATTTTTTTTCTGGCATACTATTTAGTATGGTAGTATGGGCATTGGAATGCACAGTAGATCTCACTTCGTAGAAGGTGTTGTTAAAGAATAACGGTACTGATATTTTAAGAATTGAGGTCAAAGGTCACCTACTGCATCATATCAGGAGTAAGACACTTGACAAGGAGGTGAGAGGACTTTTATTGTTTTTGTCAAAATATAAATATCCAGCTTTTATGTGTTTCTCTTCTAGGCTATTACACTATGGGTTTTATTCACTTTGAGAGTCCAAAGACAGAGGGATGTCGTATGCTGTTAAGCCCTCTGAAGCTAATTGTGACTTCTTGGACTTTGAGACTTTTTAGATCAAATTGACACTGAAATCAAATTGAAATTACGATTTGTGCAGCCCTTTAAGGCCTACTTTGTGATTGGGCTACAATAAACTTTGACTTGAGTCATCTGTACAGCACTTTAGGTTGCCTTTGGGTATGAAATATGCTATATAAATAAATTTGCCTTGCCTTGCTTAGCACTCGGGAGAAGTTTCAGTTGGTTATTTTACACCAACTCATCAAAAGCCATGACCCAGCCCTTAAACCTTAACCCTAACCACTCAACAACTCACAAAATTCAGCAATTTTTCAAGGGAGTCTGGTGCAGAATCTGTGACAGAATCTGATGGGTCACAGATTTTGGTATTACAGTTGCAATCTGTAGCCTCACCGCTAGATGCCATTTAACACTAGGCTTAGGGTAGAATTTCAATGTCTGGCTTGACTTTGAATAAAACTGCAAAGATGTTCATTTCTAACATTGAACACCCATGTTGTGAAAAGCTACCACTGGTTAGTGTCAGTGAATGTTTAATTTCCACCACAAAGAGTGGCAGCAGCAGGGGCGTAAATATAGACAGTGCAAGCAGTGCAGTGCAAGCAATTTGCATCTATGTTTTTTTTTTCTTTTGTGAAATAATCAGTAACAATTGATAACAAAATGATATGTTAATTTTACATAAACTACAAATAAACTATTTAAAACCTTTGATGCCGATGATTGGTAATATGTATTTTGATGATGTCCAACATCAAGTCAGTATTTGATCATGTAATAACACTATAAAATATACAGTGGCTGTTTCGATGCAAAATATGGCACTAGGGCCCATCATAATAGCGTGCATTGGGGCCAATCCTAACTACCGTATGCCACTGGGCAGCAGTAACTTTTTTTAAATCGCAGTGTCCAAATACCAACACTTCATAAAGAGTTATGTATACTGACACGGTGTGGTGTGGCCCCTAAAAAGAGTAAAATTACATAAAATATTTAGCCTTAATAATGAATGTAATAATTACTTGTATTTGCTATTGTTTTCAACAACAAAGGTTTAAATACCTTGGAAAAAATTCTTACAGTTAAGACAAGTTAGAGTGCAAAGGGATTTAATCTGACAGTGTTAGCTTTTCTTATAATCTGGTTATTTTATGGTGCAAACTACTAGAAAAGTTCACTTCACTGAAAGCTTATAGTTACATTATATTTAATCAGGGCTTCATTGAGTCTGCATAATTTAAAGTAATGAGTATATGCATGTGAAGCATTGAAGTCATGACTTTTGGCTGTTTGAACACAAGAGGTCAGTGTTGACCTTCCACAGATCTCAACACCACAGTAATCACACATTGCAGCTTTGTAAAAACATAGTATTTTAATAAATATAAATATGGCCAAACACAAATGTAACTTTGCAACAACAAGGCAATAACAAAAATAGACATTACAAATAACATTGCAAAAATAGATAGAAAAAATACAAATTTTTTGGTACTCATGCAGTGCATTGGTGCCTGTTGTGTCAGACAACAGTAAACTACCTAATCAGTTAACTTTCCTTCATATTTCTTTCCATCTCATCAACCTCAAACATTCAGAGAAATAAATTAACAGCAAACATATAAACTCTCAGTCAATGTTTCCAATGTCTGTCATGTTAGATCTGTGTATCCCTTTGCCCCAGTCTTCCTGTATTAAGCACATTATAAATAAAGCTTTCAGTCATATGAACCCTGTACAGTAGGTCTGGTGTGGTCACCATGTATATGTGGAGTATGAGCAGCAGTAGTCAGACACAGTGGAATGAAGGCGAGTGGGTTATTGTTCTTGAGGCTGGTTGAACTGACCCATGAACAGAACAGCACCTGGGACACAGGAAGTAAAACATCAGAAACACTGACTAAAGATGCTACCTGGACAGCTAGGTTGAATTCTAAAATGGGATTTCAAAATAAAGCATAAAAAGAGTGTTACCTGTAAGTTTGTGCTGGATGAGAAAGAGGAAAGGTCGGTCCAGAGTAATCTCCTCCACTGCCATTCGAGAAAACATCACAGCGGCTAACGGAGGGAAGTAATGAAAAACAGGTCATTGTTTTTGCCTGAAGCCCCAAATCCTTAATAGTACTCCTGAATACACCCTGGCCTTGTCTCAGTTTTGGTTGTTATAATTTGATTAAACACAAAATATATTTAGAAATATGTGCTATAACCCTAACCCTATTTTATTTGCTAATCCTAACCCTGAAAGTAAAGTTACACAGGTAAGGTTTTGGAAAGTAAAATTATGTAGGCTAGATAAAGTTTATTTACACAGGCAGGGTTTGGGCAAGATAAGTTAAATATATAATGTTTAGGAATGTAAAGTTACTTAGTCAAAGTTTAGAAAAGTAAAGTTATGTTGGTAAGGTTTAGGCAAGAGAAGTTATGTGGGTAAGATTTAGGAAAGTTAAGTAACGTAGGTAAGGTTTGGCAAAAGTCACATAAGTAAGGTAGGAAGGCGTTGCTGGCTTTGACTGTAGCTTCACATAAAGGATAATTACATAGATCTGGCCATAATTTTGGGTGTTTGTTGTGTTTGACTCAGCTATTCATATGGTGAGAAAACTTATCTTCTAATAGGAGACCTAATGCAATGATTAGATAGAAAATGTCCAATCCCTCTGCATTAGCCTCTCTCTAAAACACTGAAACTCATGAGTCCAGTGCTTGTATCAGTAGTGGGCCTACCTGTTGCTGCTGCTCCCTTGGTTCCTCGCTCATTCACCTCAATCTTCACTCTCTGCAGAACCTTGGACACACACAGCCTCTCATCAGCTGCAGGGCAGAAACACACACAGATTAGATACATCTGAATGCACTAAATGCAAAAATGCACTAAACTTATTGTAGTTTTTAACATGCTTATATGGAATGGTGAACTTCCTAACAAACTAATTGTTTTTCCTAAGAGGTTAACTTACAAGTGATGCGTGTGAAGTCAGCAGTAGCCAGGTTAAACATGTCTCCCAGACCCATGTTAAGCAGAGCAGTCTTCAAATCCACCTCAGAGTTCAGAGAAAACCTGCAAGAACACACATAGATCCTCAATTTCCCTCTTGGCAGCCACATAATAATCAATATGACACAAAAATGGTAAAACATTACTAGTATTTCTTTCAAATAATTTCCAGAGTATACTAATGTAACTGTTCGTATGATATGATATCTAACAAATTAGTACCCAACAAATTAGTGCCACTACCAGTTAGGCTAGGCTTAGGAAAGGAATAATGTTTAGACATCATCATGTTACGTACTTAATGTAAAGTTACGTAGGTTAGGTTTGGGAAAGTAGAAATGTGTAGGTAAGGTTTAGACAAGTGAAGTCACATAGGTTACGTTTAGGAAAGTAGAGTCATGTAGATAAGGTTTAGGCAAGAGAAGTTACGTAGGTATGGTTTAGGTAAGAGAAGTTATGTAGGTAATGTTTAGGCAAGAGATGGTACATAGGTTAGGTTTCAGAAAAAGAACATGGTCGGATGTTGTCACATTACTTAATTAACGTTAAGTTCACTAAGTTTCACAGGACACAAATACCGGTTTTCTGGGGAAAAATCCTGTGTTTGATTGACCCGTCCACCATCCAACCTTGCCCCCCTTCACAATTAAGTGGGTTTGCATAAAATTACTGGCTCATGATGGCTTGGGACATATACAAATTCTGGTGCATTACTTTTGGTAGGTATACATACGAACAGGTAATGAGAACAGCAAATAATTTCATGTGAGCTACCCACAAACTGTCTGACTCTTTCTCCCTCACCTGGGCATGGCCAGCTGTCGCTTGACATTCCTCAACTCCATTCTCCATTGCTTAATCTTCTGGCTGCTCAGATCTGCACTGAGTGTACTCAGGGGAACTTCAGGCTCAAAGGGTGACACCAGGAGCATGCTCATTGAGTCCCCCTCGTATGGGACCTCAATAACATCATAGTCCACCCCATCGGCAGTCACAAACTCACCTGTTGATGAAGGAGAAGGAGATAGATGTATTAAGTGACACACAGTCTGTCATCTATGTCAAATATAGATAAAGTGCACTGGTTCAGTGTGTTGAACCTACCATACTTGAAGTGATTGGTGAGTCTCATCATGTGCACGGGCACACTGCTGCCATTGGCACAGTGGAACATCCTCTCCTGTGTCAGTTTGGGGTCAAAGGGAACCTTCCAGAGGCCCTGGAAGTGGAGGGCATTCAGGAGGACCAGGCGGGTCTCATCAGTCAAAGATCCAGATGCCAGGAACTCTGGGATAGCACCTGCAGAAGAAAAGATAGCAATGAAGTCACAAAGGATTCAAAATCTGCAAGCAAAGTAAAACAAAATAATCCTGCAAATGACATGCTGTTAGCTGGATGGTGTGAGTACCTGCAGTGTGGTCGGAGACCCATGAGTTGATGACGCTGACTGCCTGGTCTGGCTTGGTGAAGTCCACCTGGTTAGGGTGGGTCTGGAAGGCCTTGGCCAGGGCTCGGCGGTATCCTTTCTCCAGGCTCATCTTCCTCTCCACCATGACACCGCTGGCTGTCTCAACCCCCTCCTCACTGGACAGGTCACGCTGCAGGAGGCGCTGCACCCGAGACCTCCCTCGCTCTGCAGGGGAGGCAAGATAAGGGTTTGTTTTATGACTACACCAATGGTAGCCTACACCAACATACCTTCCCATGCACAGTCTACCCAAATAATTCACAGATCTTCGGGATTTAGTGTCTCTAATCTATTACTTACCTTGCAGAGAAAAGCCCATAGCAGCAGTTAAAGCTCTGCGGGTGTTTCCAGCAGCACCAAGCTGAGCCATGGCCAGCACAGAGGCCACGCCGTACGGAGACAAGGCCACATTCTTGTCTGCAGAGTCCTGAGCCAGCTGTGAGAAGACCTTCAAGCCAAAGTCAGTCTGTTTATCTTGAAGAGAGCCCAGCCCCACTCTGCTCAGTGTCAGCAACAGGAAAATATACACACAAAGCATCCTGGGAAAGAAAGAGGAGAGTAGGTGTGAGTTGGATCGTGGTCTGTTTATATTCAGACAGTGACAGTAAAACCTTTTATCTACTTAATATTTCATTGGGGAAAAAAGGGAACATTTTTTTGCCGTATGCACACTGTCACTGGCATCAGTAATACCTCATCCTAAAGGAGAACAAATCACGACAAAATGTTGCCCCATATGTTCTCAGCATGTGAGTGTTTCTGTTTCTTGTAAGAGGTGAGTACAGCACTGCAAAAAGACTCTAAACAGCTCTTAGATGTTTTCAGTCAGACTTAGGGCGTTAGAAAAGATGCCAAGGATATTTTTTAGCGTCAAGACAACAATGATGCAGTGATACAGGAAATGGTCCCACATCAGTAGCCTCATTTTTTTCCTTTTGTGCATTTTAAATAGGTTTTTGTTTTAAAATAGGGAGAAAAATATGTAATCAGTGTGGTGGTTCTGTGCCTTTTTGTAGTTTCCTTGTGGTTGTTTTGTGTCTTTTTACAGTCGTATGGGTCTTGTTGAAGTATATCTATGTCTTTTATGGAGTATTTCACTGCTTTGTAGTCATTTTATGTTTGTTTTTTGTATCTCTTTGGGGTAATTTTGTGTCACTTATAGTCGTTTTGTTTCTCTTTGTAGCTATTTTGTGTTTGCTTGTGGTTTTTTGATGTCTTTTTGTAGTTATTTTGGTCTTGGTTATCTTGGAGGTAATTTTATGTGGGTTTTTTTTGGTAGTTTTGTGTTTTACTGTAGTAATTTTCTGTCTCCTTGTGGTTGTTCTGCCCATTTTTGAAGTTATTCTGTGTCTCTTTGTGCTCATTTTCAGTCTCTTCCTGGTCAGTGTACATGTTCATTTGAGTGACATTTTGCAGGTAAAGGCCAGGTGGCCCCCTACCACTCTGGGCCCCTGGGCCTGACTGCAGTAGGCCTATTTATTAATCAATCCATGGTCCTAAGTCAAAAAGGTTAGGGCCAGCTGATCTGACTGATTTAATTCTTCAGAAAACTGAACAATTTTACACTGTTGAACTAACCCTTTAAATTTGGTCAAGGCCCAGATGAAGTCATTGACCTTGCAGCTACATTGTATTACATGTACGTACGTGACTCATATTGGATGTGAACGCATTCACATCACTGTGTTAACTGGAAAATTTGTGTGTGTCAGTAACATTGGCTTTCCATTGCATATATCAATAGTGTATGGTACACTGTGGTTACAGCATACTTTACATACTGTAGCAGTAGTGCCAAAGACCTGCTTCTGAATCACAGGTCAGTGCCTCTGTTTGCATAAGTGATCACATCTACCTCTGAACACACACATGCTTTCACTGATCACCACAGAGAGCAACACACAGCAGTTGTGCAATATTCTATAAACCACTGGACCATGGATAAAGTAAACTGTGTTACCTTTGTACTTGGTTACTTTCCACCACTGTTAGTATTAAAAAAGGGTAAAAAGTATGGGTATAAAAGTACTAACTCCATCACCTCAATAGGAATAATGAATCCTCACTACCTTTTTGGGAATTTAGGCATTTTTTTCCACAATGAACACATGACCACAAGGGGAGAAACCCTGGAAGAATAGAGTATCGTTTTTAACTAATAGATGTCCTTATGAAACATTCCCAGTTCATTACTCACCACAAGACAATTATTTTCTGAATAAAATGTTTTCTAAAATTGTGTGTAAATATGCAAATGAGTCAGTATTTAATGAAATATGTTCTAATTTGCATACATTTCCAGAACAGAAATCTGAACAGTGGATAAAACCAGGTTCAAAATTCTTGTTTCATTTTGTTGTCATATCAAGAGTCATAGGTTATCGCTCCATAAATCAAAAAATACTGTCAACAGCCATAAAAAAATTAAATACATTTTTGCCATGTTTTTAGGGATAAAATATTGGGAAATCAGGCTATAATGTGTAGAAACCTAGGAATGAAATGGGAAAGTTTGGTGGATGTAAGTGCTACTGAAGTGAACATTTTTGGTTCATCAATAATTATTAGATTTTCAAATTGTACCCTTTGATGTTTGAAATTAAAGTTAAAAGTTCTTGTCGTGCATGCTAGTTAGTTCATAAAAACAATTTATTTTCAGCCACATTTTAAAGTTGATGTAGAATAAAGTGATTTTGATGAAATATCGCTATTTTAATCTCAGACTTGGTTAAGTTTCGCATGGACGCATTTGTCACACATAATGTGTGCTAGGACCATTGGAAATTTTAAAATCCAACAACCATTCCTGTTTTTACAGTTTCCAGCTGTGAAAAAATGTGCAATTTGTTCAAACTCTTGAAGTTTTCTTTAAAGATCAGCGTTAAACAAAATACAAAATACAACCATCTAAATTTGTAAACCCCTCTCTTAAGCCAAAAAAGAAAAAAACCCAAACATGTTGCTCCCCAGTGCTTAAAAATATTTTACATCCCTCCCATTTTTTGCACCACCCCCTCCCCCCATAAGTAATGAACAGTCCCTAAAAACAATAAAATAGTAAAACAGTGGTATGGAGTTGTACAAAACCTGTCCAACTATTATTCCTTGTGATGTGTTTTTGTTCATATAACTGCAATGCAAAGTAACACTTTCATCAAATTGAAGAAATTTGTAAGAAAAATGTCTTGACTTTGTTAGATTTGTTACATAATTGTGATTTTAAAAGCTCTGAAGTCCAGTTGTGTTTCTTACCTTTTGGTTGAAATATGTCAGATGTAGTTGAGCGGCTGTATGTAGTTTCAGCTTCTGTCTGCTGCTGCTTGAGTCTGAATGACTGAATGAGCTTCTTTCCTGTTATATGCAGAGCTGCATGCTCTCAAGCCCCACCCCCCACCTACGCACACACACAGAAGTTATTAGACAGGATGATGTCATCTGACATCTGACACTGTCTGGACAGGCTTCCTTTTCATGATCACAGACATCCACTCTCGCCTCCCTCCCATTCCCCCCGCTGTCTGTCTGTTTTGCTCAAAGCATGACGGAGCATATGGAAAGTCACTTAACTGTTTTCCTTGTCTCATTCAAACACACACACACACACACACACACACACACACACACACACACACACCACTCCTCTGGCATGTGCACAAAGGAACGTGTTTTCAGGAAAAGGTGCAGTTTGTGTTTCTCCCGAACAAATGTCTATCAGCCTGTAGAGGAGACGAGTGTAATAGTGGTTTAGTATGTAATGTTTGCCTATCAAGTTTCATTTTGTCATGAATAAGCCACAACAAGTCAACTTATAAGAAGTGAAAGTGAAACTTGTTTAATCATGTTTCATTACCGAGTGTTATATATTTATGTATGCATTTAAATTATTTATTTCTCTATTTATTTATATAAAATTTAATTAATTAATTAATTAATTAATTAATTAATTGAACATTTATTTGTTTATTTCTTTTATTATATATTTATTTATTATTATTATTTTATTATTTTCTCACTAGTAAATGGTTATTTATAACCTTACATTGTTCATCATCACAACATAACAGTATATATATGACACATGTCCACAAACATGTCCAGACAGTTGCTGATTTTGATCAAAATGATGCCAATTTTAGAAAATTATATTTGTTAAAGTTGTTGCTTGGTTGTTTTACCTTGATAACATTAACATTTGTCAGAGTTGTCTTTTGTCTGTTCAATGTATAACAAATCTTGATAGGAAAAAGGTATTTCTTAAAGTAAGGTACCAAACAATTAATTTCTTTCATGTGGGTACTGATTAAAACTCAGATATCTGCACTATTAAAAATGTTAAAGCATTGTCTGCATCACATGTTGTCCTTTTCAAGCTGATTTTTAGTGAATCTAAATCAGCTGTGTTCAGCTTATGTGTGTTATCTTGAAGAAACCAAGTCCCAAATGGGTACTATGCGCTATTACCCACTAGTACTGGGATACAACTACACCTCAGGCATCATGTCTTTGAGGGTATTTATCATAACTGATGATATGAAGACATATGATCTAAAACCAGTTCTTTACAAGTATCAGGATAGTCATTACAATCTGATCTGATTGCGATGACTAACACCCCAAAAGCCCTGTTCCCAGATATAAAAGTTTCTATGTATATTTACAGTTTCCAACAGATGAATCCCAGTGTTTTTTGTGACCCCCCCCCCACCCACCCACTGTTAAGTGCCACCATTAGGCCAAAATAGCCCAGTTTATACAAAAAATAGTTGAATCTAAGGGGCATGTTGCCAAGGAATGTACTGAACACAACATGTTCTCTGCTAGTGCCACCCCAAACTAAAACTGCCAAAAACTAAAAGTGTACACACATGGATTTTTTTATTTTTACTGCTAAGCACATCAGTTAATGTTACTTATAAGGGGCTTTAACACTAGCTTATCTTTTACACAGTCACCCTCTTGATTCTCACTCTTGGGGGTGACACATGAAAATACCAAATTTGGTCGTGGCTCACAGCATTCCTGATCCCCCTACTCACCAAGCATCTGCTAGACAGAGAAGAGAATTGGAATTAACACACTTTTTCCAAATCTCTTAGAAGTTAAGAAGCAAAGCCAATAACAGCTTCCTGGATTTGATGTGTCAGCTATGGAGTGCTTGATCTCTAATATCAGGTTATTCAACAGTGAAAAAAGGAGAAACTAATGGATCCAGAAGGCGTTAAGGCAGGGCTCTAAGCTATAAAGGGAGGGAAAAAAGGCTGGGTCAACCACATTACAAAAAGACATGTTTCTGCCCTTCCCAGTGGTGCAGCATTTAGACATGTACATAGTTTAGGCTTTATTTGTCAAGGTTTTGAAGTATTTGGCTCAATTGTTTCTTTCTACAATAACTGTGCATCCTTCTGAACCTCCACACCCTTTGTCATTGTAGTGACCACTTCATGGGCCACATCAAAGACAGAAGACACATGCAAACTTAACAATAACAAGCTGAAATACTCCTCAGTAAAAGTCATGTTTTGACCAAGAACTGTGGTCTCCTAAGTGAAAATTTTGTTTCAACCAAGAATGATGGCTCCTAGGTGAAAGCCATGTTTTGACCAAGAACTATGGTCTCCTTGGTAAAGTCTTGTTTCAACCAAGAACAATGGCTCCTGGGTTCAAGTCTTGTTTCAACCAAGAATGATGGCTCCTAGGTGAAAGTCTTGTTTTGACAAAAAAAACTATGGTCTCCAAGGGGAAAGTCTTGTTTTGACCAAGAACTGCAGCTCCTAGTTGAAAGTCTTGTTTCGACAAATAACTGCAGTCTTTTAGGTAAAAGTCTTGTTTCGACGAATAACTGCAGTCTCCTAGGTAAAAGTCTTGTTTCGACAAATAACTGCAGTCTCTTAGGTAAAAGTCTTGTTTTGACAAATAACTGCAGTCTCCTAGGTAAAAGTCTTGTTTTGACAAATAACTGCAGTCTCCTACGTAAAAGTCTTGTTTCGATATATAACTGCAGTCTCCTAAGTGAAAGTCTTGTTTCAATAAATAACTGCAGTCTCCTAGGTGAAAGTCTTGTTTCGATATATAACTGAAGTCTCCTAGGTAAAAGTCTTGTTTTAACCAACAACTGCGTTTCCTAGGTAAAGGTCTAATTTTGACAAATAACTGCAGTCTGGTAGGTACAAGGCTTGTTTTGACCAAGAACTGCAGTCTCCTAGGTCAGTGTTGTTTCAACTAACAACTGCAGTCTCCTAGGTAAAGTCTTGTTTTGACAAAGTGGGGTAGAGCAGGCACATCCAAGATATTACAGGTGCAGGACCAACAAGCAAACAGACTTTTTTTATATACCAGGATCCTGATGAAGATCTATGTGATCGAAACGCTGATCTTATATAATAAACATTTGAGGAGCTAGAACAGTGTGCGGACTTCACCCCTTTTTTTTAAAAAAAAGTCTTGTTTTGACCCATCCAACTCCTGCCATATGCAAACTTTTTTAAGCTACTTAAGTTGCTCTCAGTGTCAGCTATTGCTGTGGATGGGTTTACGTTGGAATTAGTTGAAAGCTTGGTGTGTAAATGACACCATAAAGACGCCAAACGATACCTTTTGTGTAGATATCACACATGAGGGGTGCGTCAAAGTCTTGGTATTTGACAACCTGGGGCTCGACAAACCCAGGCCATAAACTGAGATGACAAAGTTTAGCAACTAGACTGTCCTGATGTCATTGTCTTCTGCCTTTTATCTTTCCTTATGCCAAGACAATTGCGTCTGTGAGGGACATTTACAGGCCCATTTACCATGTCTTGTATGAAAGAGAGTGTAAATGGGTGGTTTTAGTTCTATGTCCTGGTGGCTGTGTTTGAGTGATGTTAAACTTTAACAGCCTTGTTAAATTGCATTGTACAGCTAATTTATTATCAGGCTTAAAGAGCTGCAGTTACCTCTAAATACCTTTGAAATGTGCGTGTGTGATTGTGAACAAACACAAAAACACATATGAGAGATTAATAGCTGCGAGTGACAGGTCAGTGGCCTCATGAGTCACTTATGGAGACCACTGTTGTTGTGTCATGCTGCTGTTTATTTAGACAATGTTGCCATAAATATACTGATGCATCAACACATGTTTTCCCTGTAACTTGGCATAACCCCCACAACCACTGGGGATTTGGTTGATTCCATATAAGGATGTGAATGGAAATTTGGTGTGTACCACCCACCCAGTTCTCTGTGGGGGCTTCAGGAACATGGGAGTCAACTGTTACCAGGACAACACACAACATCACACACACAGACTAAGTCATTAAATCCCAAAGGTGTAAACTATTAGTTGTTACGTGACTGAATTATGTAAGGGCGAAAAAAAAGAGAAATAAGAACTAACTTCATATTTGTTGTTTTTCTCATTTGGTACATTGTAACCATAGACTCAAAGCCACCATACTCCATTGCCAAATACGATAATTTTTCTTCAATGAACACAGGAGTTGCTGGTTTACTGCTGCCTTGATTTGTTAGCATGTGAGGTAAATAGCTGAAAGTATTCTAAATATAATGTACACTTAATCTGATATCAGTTCTTTAAGGGGGTGTTTTTGGCGGCTAAAACACATTTTGCCCCCATTCACAGCAGTACACTGCTTAGCTTCCATGCCGATAGATTTCATTTATCAAAGATGGCAGCAAAACAGCACAGTACATAAAATAAACAGAGCAAAAAATGTCAGATAAATTGGCCCATCATATTATATCTTTAAACATTACAGTGAGAGCTGAAAATGACGAGAGAAAAAAAAAGTTTGGCGTTTTCACATACTTCACAATTCAAATCAACTGGCAGCTACCTGGAAGTGATTGTTGTTGTTAGTGCAAAGTCACAGTGATTCGCTCCATACTCTGTGAACCTGGGGTTACAGCATGGTTATGCTACCTAACCATACATTGTTGCTCTAGGAGAAATTTGTCAACAGACAGCACCCACCTGTCACTTATAGCGCCACGCCCTTACTTCTGCATAATTTTAAACCCTAATAACATTTATACAGTTGAGTTATATAAAAATTCAACCCACATACAGTTGTCATGAATAGGAGAATAAGTTATAGAGACCAAAACCTTTTTTGTACCAGGCAGTAATCATGTTAATTTCTGCCGTAAAGTTGAGCATTTTGTGGGAGTGACTCACTTGGAACCAGCCTTAAGTGGCCATTAGAGGAACTGCAGTTTTTGACACTTCAGTGTTGGCTTAATTTTTCAGGGGCCAGTTGCATAAAACTCCTTTAGTTAGGTTTTTTCTCAAAGTCCTATTGAAGGTTTCCTCAAAATAAAAAAACATTT